CCCTCCCCCCTGGCACCCCCTTCTTCCCCAACTCAGCAGCAGCCAGCTCTGGGCATAGCTGTGGGAGGGACCCCACAAGCCAGAGGCCCCACATTGCTGGGGCGGGGGGCATGCAGCCGGGCATAGCCCAGCCCCAGAGGTGTGGGAATGCCAAGCTGGCCAGGTCAGGGCCGTGTCACAGGCCAAGGTCAGACTCTAGAGACCTGGCAGTGATGCTGCTGCCAGCCCCAGTCACAGAAACCATTGCAACAACCTACTGATGGGCCTCCAGCAGGGCTGGGCCAGGCTCCCACCCCCAGGTCCATGGCCGGGCAAGCTGTGGGGACTCAGCACAGCCCCTGCCCCAGCTGCCCTCTCTGCTCCCTCTATCTTGGCATGGGCAGTGCCACGGCTCCTGCATGCCCCAGGGATGTGCCGAGCCAGGGGCCCGCACTCAGGCCTCCCCACAGCCGCACGCAGAGAGTGCAGATGCCCCGTGCACTTCCACCCACGCAGCAGGCAACCAGTGGCCCAAGGCAGGAGGGAGGCTGAAGCCACCCCCGGGAGTCCACGATGAAAGGAAAGACCACTGGCTCAAGGCACCCTCAGGGCTGCCAGCAGCCAAGCTGCCCTGGAGCTGGGACACTGGGGATAGGACAGCTGGGGTGGCCCCTGGCTGGATGAGCTGGGGCTGCAGAGCAGGCAGGGATCCTGCCCCACTGCCCCTCCCTCATGCCCCGGGCCCCTGCCACGGCCCTGCCAGGGGAGGCCTGGAGCCCATGGCGTGGGCACAGGGCCCCCCGCTGAGCAGCTCCCATGCCCTGCACCATGCCCGCAAACCCAGGCAGAGCAGGTGTCCCCATCCCCTGCTCTTCCCCCTCCCTCACAGTAGCAAAGAGTAATTAGCCCCTTCGTCAGGCAGATTATTGCTGACGGCTTTGATATGCAAATGGCCCAAGATTAGTCGGCGTCTAATTACTGCGAGAAAAGGCCTTTGTTTGCACGGAAGGACACAGATTACACGCCTGGCCAGGCCACGTGTGGGTGCCGCTGCGTGTGCCAAGGCACGAGGGTCGCGGCAGAGCTGAGCGTGCAGTGCCGGAGCGGCCAGGCACCTGTGGGAAAGAGGCAGCTGAGAGCCTGACACCCACGGGCAGCCTTGGCCCCGACAGCGCAGCTCAGCACCTGGCGCTGTGGGGGTGGATGGTGGCAGCTCAGGGGAAGAGGGGAGCCCTGGGGCTCTTGCAGGCCCATGTCCAGGAGGGGGTGCTGCGCGGCACAGAGGGACCAGGGCTCCCCAGCCATGCCCACTGTATGGCCCGCGCACCGCCGGGGTCTGTCTGGCCCTGGGAGCAATCACAGGCTGGGGCTGCAGCACTGACTCCAGGGGGTGGGGGGCACCATCCAGGCAACCCCAAGTCGGTGCCCCCCTAGCTACACTGTGACTGGCGATACCCGTGCCCCCACGCCTGCTCCTCACCAGCTGGCTGGGCGCTGTCGGTGCTGATGGCGAAGTCCTCGTCATAGGACTCGTCGTTGGAATCGTCCCCGTCCACAGACGACCAGGCCCGCAGCTTGGCCTCTGCGATGGCGAACTGCTCCGCTACCCCTGGGGGTGGGGGGAGACACCTGTCAATCATCCTCACCTAGCAAGGGGGTGCTAAGGGAAGCAGGGGGCACTGCATAACGGGGCTTTTGCCTGGGCTGCTGGTGCCTGGCATGAACACCAGGACAGCCTGGCACACAGGGTCATGCCCAGGAGAGGCGATGGCTGCTGAATGTGCCCCCAGCCCTGGTGATGGGAGCAGGGGATGAGGCAGGGTAGCAGAGCAAGGGCCCACCCCCCAATCTGGAGGATCCCGAAGCAAGATACAGCTCCCCTCTGCTCCCCAGCCAGGCACCAGGCTCCCGGTGTGAAGGTGCCAGCACTGCACAGGGGGAGAAGGAGTGGGTGCGGGGCACCTGGACTTAAGGACAGGGTGACGTCTCCACACCAGGCAGGATGGGCCCTTTCGTCATCAGCGCTGTGCCAACCCGGTCATTAAGGAGCCTCTCGAGTGGCTAATTCGGGGCTGCAGCTGCCTCCGTGCGTCACCGCCCCAGCGTGGGGGGGGCGGGGGGTGGAGGGGGGTTGGGACCTACTGTGGCACCCCAGGAGCTAGCACCAAGGCACAGTCCTGGCTTGGGGTGGGAAAGGGGTCCCTAGACAACACCCCTCCCCAGGCACACCAGGCCCCACTGGCTGGCCAGGCCCGCCTGGGGGGGCATCTGGGGGGGCTATTGCAAAGGCTTCTGGGAAGGATCTAGGGCCTGCTCAGCTCTGGCCTTCGCTCAGCCTGGGGGGTCTTCTCCCTGCCCCACTGCAAAGTCCCCGCATCTCCCCTAGCAGAGGAGTTGTGCTCTGGGCCACAGCTCCACCCTAGGCCACGGTGCCAGCTTGGCCATGTGGACATGCCATGCCCAGGAGCCCTGGGGACCTGCCAGCATGGCTCCCTGGAGAGGGCAGGAAGAAGTGGCATGGCCAAGCAGAGACAATGCTGGCTGCAGGAGGGTGAAGGCTGGGAGTGACCTGTGCAGCTAGTGCCCGGGCTCCCAGCCTGCCCTGGCATGGTAGCCACCTCCCTCGGAGGGTGTGCACTGGGACCGCCCTTCCTGCCCTGCCCCTGAGCTCCCAGACTGGCCACTGAACCAGTGGCCAAGCTCCTAGGGCTTTTAGAAATAAATGACTTCATACAGCCACACCCAGAATGGCACACCCCACGCACTGCACAGTACTACACATGCCAGGCACAGCACTGCACAGCACTGCCTGCAGCTGCAGCTGCGTCTGCATCCACTGCACAACACTGCACGTGCCATACACTACACTGCACAGATCTGCACCCACTACACAACATAGCACTGCCTGTGCGTGCACCCATTGCACAACACTGCACATGGCATATGCTACACTGCACAGGTCTGCACTCAATGCATGGTGCAGCACGCACCACACTGCGGGCTGGCACCCACTACACTGCACACATCAGGGACAGCCCTGTGTGGGTCTGCACCACTGCACAACACTGCCTGCATCTGCATCCACTGTGCAACACTGCACATGGCATAGGCTGCACCACACAGGTCTGCACCCACTGCACAGCCCTGCCCACACCGTACACTACACTGCACAAATGTGCACCCATTACACAGCACAGCACTGCCTGTGTATGCACCCGCCCGTGCCATACACTGCACTGCACAGGTCTGCACCCCCTAGATAGTGCAGCATGCACCACACTGCATAGGTCCGCACCCACTGCACTTCACCGACTACATAATACACTGCACAGGTCTGCACCCAACTCTACAGCAATGCATACACAGTGCAACACCCCACACAGATCTGCACCCACAGCACAGCACATGCCATGCACTGCACTGCAGGGATCTGCATCCACTGCACACCACTGCACATGTCGCCTGCTGCACTGCACAGGTCTGCACCACTGCACCGCATGGCACTGCCTGGGTCTGCACCCATTGCACAGCTCTGCACATGACATACACTACACTACACAGGTCTACACCCACTACACAGCACTGCCCACACCACACACTGCAGGAGTCTGCACCCAGTGTACAGCACTGCATACACCATGCAACACACCACACAGGCCTGGACCCATTGCACAGCAAAGCACATGCCATGCACTGCACGGCACAGGTCCGCACACTGCAGTAAAATACCATGTGCCTACCCCCTGGGCACACTGCACACGCCCCTGAAACCTCTGCACTGAACTGCACTCCCATGTCACCCCCACCCCTGCACAGTGATGCCTGGATCTGCACACCCCTGGCTGGCACTGCGCAGGCCTGCAGGCCCCTTTGCAAAAGCTGCACAGAACTACACAGTCATGCCCAGCACTGCACACACCATGCACTACACTGCACGCCTGCCCCACGCCTAGCACAGCACAGCCCTGCACAGGATTGCACACACCACCACTCTGCACACACACACGCACACACCCTCCACCGCACTGCGCTCCCAGCTGACTCATGGCTGGGGCATATCTCCCCTCCCTGCGCAGCTCTGGGGCTGCCGGCCCGGTGCCGGGCTGTGCAGATGGATGCTCCAATCAGGCCTGGTGAGCTCCGTGCTGTAGCCTCTCTGCACTCCGCCCCATATCGCCAGGCCACCCTGTGGCCCCCCGAGGCAGGCTGGGCTCCGTGGTGACAGCCACGTCCCATGACAGCGCACTTGAGTGACAGGGCTGCAGTGGGGGATACTGGGAGCTGCCTGAGCAGGGTGCATCACCCCACCCTGTGCACAGCTGGTGTTGTCCATCCTTCCCAAGCATCTCCAGGCCCCCCGGGGCTCCCAGCAATGGAGAGGCAGGCAGAAGGACCCTCCATGAATCCCCCCTCCCCCCCGAGGAGGCTGGGCCCTGCTCTGCTGTGGCCACCCAGACCCACAGGCAACGGGCACCAGAGACAGCAAAAAGCAGGGTGGGCTTGTGCAGGGGAGCCTGACTGGGGGGCTGGGAGTGGGCAGTGCCCACTGTCCTGATCCCTGGGTCTGGGGAGCACAGCCATGCCCAGGCTGGGGAGGGGGCACCATTCAAGACTCAGCCCTCAGGATCTGGGGGAAATGAGGGGATGCCCCCAACCCTCCTCCCTCCATCCCTGCTGGGCCCAGACAGGGCAGGGCACTCACCTCTTGCCACTGCTTTAGTGGCAGTGGGGCACCCACCAGGAGGGAGGAACACCAG